AGGACCTACAGCCAGCACTACTGTGTCAGGGCCATCAGTGTCAACAAGCCCAGTGCCAGGCACCACCTCTGGAGTCCCTGAAACCGAATCCACCACCAAAACGACCACTTCCGTCCCCACAACATCGGGACCCACTCCCCGCAGCACCACTGGAGTAACAGAAACATCTACCCACGAGACCACTACCACTGGGACGGGGAGCCCTTCGACGGGATCAAGTACTACCACCACCACCACCACCACCACTGTGAGCTCCACAACGCAAAAAGCCTCCTCCTCAGGACCTACAGCCAGCACTACTGTGTCAGGGCCATCAGTGTCAACAAGCCCAGTGCCAGGCACCACCTCTGGAGTCCCTGAAACAGAATCCACCACCAAAACGACCACTTCCGTCCCCACAACATCGGGACCCACTCCCCGCAGCACCACTGGAGTAACAGAAACATCTACCCACGAGACCACTACCACTGGGACGGGGAGCCCTTCGACGGGATCAAGTACCACCACCACTGTCAGCACCATGATACCAGGACCTACAGCCAGCACTACTGTGTCAGGGCCATCAGTGTCAACAAGCCCAGTGCCAGGCACCACCTCTGGAACAACTCCAACAGAATCGTTTACCACTACTTCAGGAACAACCTTCAGTAAGTTTACCCCAGTCACTGCAACTACCACTACCATAACCTCCGAAATTGTTTCCTCTGCCTCAATTAGTACTTCTGCTCCAACTGAAACATCAAGTGCATTCACCATTGCAGGAAGTTCTACGTATAGTACAGTTACTCCACTCAGTACTTCAAGTTCAACTAAAAGTCCACCACCACCCACTCCTGGAAGAAATTGTTCTATTTTGCCTAATGAATCTTATGCGGTGAGTAGATTTCATGAGGGTGTTTAGCATTCTGTTTTCGATTGAGAACTGGGCACATAATTCCAGTATTGGTAACAGAGTAGGTATTAATCTGGATAGATAAGGAAGTATCAGTCCATTCTATTTCTTTCTGTTTTCTTGTGTATCAGCATGACTTCCAATGGTATTCAGTTTCATAGCTTATATATTGCTATTAGTTCTTCAGGGGTAGTTTTAAAAAGGCTTTGTTCAAGTAATTAGATCTCAGCTCAGTGATTCTCTTTATATTAGGATAGCTTTGATGAAGAGGTAAGGAAGGGCTAAATGGTGCTAAACTATCTTTTTCTGCTTTTGAATAGGTCTAGAGTGGGGAAAAGTTGTTTGTGTGTTTACAGGGCAGCTTAACAAGAAACTACAGGGTTGAACTAGTCTGAGTTTGCATTGAGTCATACTTGGTGATAGTCTGGTTTCAGGAGAGGACTGTGAAACGGATCACCACTTTCAAATGCTCATGAAATTTGACTTAGAGTTCCGAGTTTTTTGGAACTCTCTACATCTGACAGACAAGCTACAATGTACAAGTCTTGTACATTTCTAAAGCCTCCTCACAGCTTAGGTATCTACCAACTTACACAGTAGATCTGCAGGGATAGAAATTATACATGGCTGAAAAAATGGTGGAAGATAGAAAAAATGCATACAATCATAATGCAAGCACGTAATCACCTTAGACATTACTCCCCACATAGCTGATGTTCACTGTAGCTTTAGCTATTGATCTGTTCTAGGCATTCATGGAAGGGGATTGATCATATATTGATCACTGATATTTATCAGCGTCTTTCACTATCAATTAGAGAGGGAGTCTATTTGATGAGATTAGATCAGATATCTAACTTTTAGACAGCTGAAACTAAAAAAGGCAATTCCCACTTCAGGTTACTTTTATAAGTAATGTGTTTCATTTAGCAGCTCTCAGTAGTGCTAGCCCATCTTGCAGCCCTTGATGGTGCTGACTGCTGCACTTTCTTCCCATTTTCAGACTTCTGGTGGTGAAAAAATTGTCAATAAACATATGGCACTTTAATACTCTGCATAAGATATTCAGGCATAACTGTTGTCAGTCTGACTACTTCATAACGTTTCTTTCTGTCTTCCCCTTCTCCGAATCTTTCCAAACACAGCCGGGTGAGTCATGGGAGCTCTGTAACTGCACTAAGGCAGTATGTATAGAAGACAATATAGTCCAGGTGGTTCCCATAATCTGTAATCCACCTCCTAAACCTACATGTACCAATGGGCTTTCTCCTGTGCAAGTCATTGATAAGGATGGATGCTGTTGGCACTGGGAGTGTGATTGTAAGTATACATTTTGTTGCATATTTTATCTCCTGTGGGAACAATATTAGTGTCCAGAGCAAGAATATTTATCAGGGAACAAGTATCACACAAGGCTGTGAACGTCAGACTTCTAGTGTTGGTCTGAAGTGCTTCAGTGATTCTTTTTAGCTAATCGGGGGCTTCTGCCTAGTTTGCCATCATTTCTATGTAACTGTTATGTTAGTAGAATAAATTTGTTTCCCAAGGCAGGACTTAAATGTCCAGCTGTTGACACCTGTAAGCTAGAAGCCTACATATAAGTTACTTTTTCAGACTATCGGTAAAGGTATATCTAGGGTACAGTTAATCTTATTTTAACTTGTCTATTGGAAATAAGTCAGACGAACTGTGCCCTGAAAGTGCCTGGTTTTCTCTATTATTGGCGAGTTCTAGATAATGAGCTCATGTATTGACATATTATACACTCTAAAAATTTAAATGCCTCAAGTTAGATGAGAAGAATCCCACACATACAGATTTTGTTTGTAGTCTGATCTGATTCTGTGTGTTGCCATAAGAAGCTAACCTAACTGTTTGTTTTTGTAGGCTACTGCACTGGCTGGGGGGACCCACATTACATTACTTTTGATGGACTGTACTACAGCTATCAAGGGAATTGTACATATGTCCTTGTGGAAGAGATTTATAAGGAAGTTGACAACTTTGGTGTCTACATTGATAACTACCATTGTGATACACGGGATGTAGTCTCCTGTCCTCGAGCACTCATTGTGAGATATGAGACTCAGGAAGTGCGCATAGCAACAGTCAGACCAAATACTGTACAAGTAGAGGTATTGGAGAATGTTACCTTTGATTTCTTGATTAAAATATTAATACATCATCAACCTAATAATTACATTCACAAAGTTAGGGAAAAAAATTAAGGAGGAATCTGTGTTTTAGATTTAATACCACTTTGGATTATAAAATAGGACTGCTTTGAAAGACTGCATTTTTGACTCTGAATAGGGGGAAAAATTTCTACAACTTCTTCCCTTTTTATCTCAAGTATTTGCAGTGCCTTATCTCTGCTAAATACACAAACCTAGACAAATTTCTAGGAGTTAAGGATATAAAATAAAATAATTTATAATTAATATTTATGTAACAAAGGTAAAGAATAAATGTTCAATGGGAGGATACAACGTAAACTAGATATTATAATGAAATACTGAGCTTAAGTATTTTTAAAAAGTACTAATTTTCATTGGTGTCATTTTTAACTTTTCAGATTAGGGGCTCTTCTGTGTTTATTTCATTGATAAACATGATGCCCCTGCTTTGGGGCTTTAAAATTGGGTGAGAAGTATTTGGTTTTAGGTTTTTGTGGGATTTGTTTGCTTTATTTTTGTACATTACTGTGTGGGAATATTACAAGTTAGATTGCAGCATCTTGTTGAAAATTTGCAGCATCTAGATCTGTGTTTTTTTCCAAAGCAAGTAAATCTACCCTTGCTGAGTAAAGATAGTAGTGTTACTTACATAGGTATATGATGGCTACTGTATTGAAACAGATAATAAAGATTTGGTCTTATTTCTTTCACTTAATTTTCCTACAAACATGTTCCCTTCATACCAAGAAAGTTAAAAATGTGTGCACTAGGAATTTAGGAGAATTTTATATTGCACTTTCATGGGATGTCCTCAATGCCATCATCACTGTAATAAATCTGTTGAGTGTTAGAATTTAGCTGGTTTAAACTCTGAATTTTGGCCTTGTTTATCAGTGGCTGATAGACATTTTCTTTGGCTCAGAGAAGAAAAGTTTGACTTTCTAGTGACATAAAAGGAAACACAAGCATACTTATTAGAAACTAAAAGGACATTATTTGCCTTTACATTCTATCTCCAGTGCAAAGTAGTGAACTATCAATTTTTTTCTAAAGTCAAATATGTATGAATATATCTCTTCTGTTTTCTTTTACTTATTAGGTGACAGTAAACAAACAGGCAGTGGCTTTGCCTTATAAAAAATTTGGATTGAGCATCTATGAGTCAGGCATAAACCGCGTAGTGGAAATTGCTGACCTAAAAATGAATGTGACCTACAATGGCTTATCCTTTTCTATCAGAATGCCCTACAGCCTGTTTGGCAACAACACTCATGGACAGTGTGGTAAGGCTTACTGTTGTAATTTTTGTACTCTCAGAAACCCACAAACAGGTAAATGATAGCCCTGCCACAAAGATAAATGGAATTTGATAACATATCTGTGAGTGAATTCTTTCTCCCCTTACCAATTTTAGGTACTTGCAATAACAACACGGCAGATGACTGCATGTTGCCAAATGGAGAAATAGCAGAAAACTGTGAAACCATGGCAGATCATTGGCAGGTTGTTGATCCCTCCAAACCGCAGTGCTCTCCAGGCCTAATTCCTACAAAAGGACCTAGCACAACCCCAACGCAGCCTTGCAAAGAATCTTCCATCTGCAAGCTTCTTTTGGGAAGGTAGACATTCCTCTGGGGTTTATAAGCCTTTGATCTTCAAATTAAGTGGCAATTTTAGGATTTATTTCTCCATAAAAAGTGTTTCTAACTATAGCTCCATTTCTTGTAGCTTTCTGGGTTGCTTCCATTCCTTTTACTGTTTCTAGATGTCATTCTTTCTGATAATTTGCTTCCAGCCCTCTGGCTGCTACAGTGACATTTCTTCTTGTCCTCACATTCTTCTATGTTCTCTGCTCTCCACTGTCCCGTGCTCTTGCCTTTTCCCACACTCACTTGGCGGAAAACAGAGTAACTAATAATGATAAATGTTTCTGTTTCTAGTGTGTTTGAGCCATGCCATGGCTTTGTCCGGCCTGAAAAGTACTATGCAGCCTGCGTTTTTGATAGTTGTGTAGTTCCCAACTTAGACCTGGAATGCTCAAGTCTGCAGATCTATGCTGCCACCTGTGCTGATCAAAGTGTATGCATTGACTGGAGAAGCCATACCCATGGTGTTTGCTGTAAGTATTGGCCGTTTATCTTGAACTGTTAGGGAAGCTAGTATGGAACTGTTTCAGCAATAATGTCCTAATGATAAGTCATATTGCTTTCTGAGCAGTGAAGCCACCAATAAATCGCATCAGCTGCTTTACTTAAGTAATTTTACAGGTAACGTTTTTAACAATGGAAATTATAAATCAGCCTGCAAAAATATACAACTATTGACTGTGCCAGAAACCTCTGTAAAGAGTAGATTTTTTTTGTACACAGGCAGTTTTCTGTTTTGTAGGCATCAGCAGATCACTCTGTATTTAGTGACATATGCGTTCATTTTCAGCTGTAGTAAGAAGAAGACAGAGGGTAGGAATACACTCTCCTTTGAAAACTTGTCCAAAAGAGACCAAAATTATGAAAAAAATGTGATCAAGATATAGACTCTTTGCTTTATCGCCTTAATATAAACTATGGTGCTATATTTCTATGGCTCATTTGCATATAATAATTTCATTCAGAGACATGAGTCTGATATCTGGGGTTTTTTTCTCTTTGAATCTCAAGATTGTCGAAGATACGTAGGAAAATAAGTAGTCAGTGTTTAATTTCTTGGCGTAAGATCATGGGGCTTTTATATGATATCGTTACTGAGCTCTTCCTCCTTTTTATTCTCCCACTCCAGCTTACAAATGCCCCTCAGATAAAGAATACAGAGCATGTGGTCCTATTAAAGAGATAACCTGCAAATCAAGGTAAATAATCCCTTCACTGTTAGTTATAGCTCATACAACTAACTATTCAGTCATATCTAATGCATAGGTGGATGAGAGAAATCAACCTCCTGTCATGTCTTAAATTGACTGTCAGATTTGGTACAATTGTTCTCTTGATCCTAAAGCCTGGACTGTTTATGGTTTTTGGGTATACCAATCCTTAAATTGCAAATGTGCAGGTCATTTGACACTGTATCTTCAGTGAAAGGTTATTTGGCATAATCTTCATCTGTGTGCCTGTGACAGTAATGGTGTTCCTCTGAACGTTTTGTCTCATACAGTCAACAAAATGAAACTTCAGCTAAACAAGTGGAAGGTTGTTTCTGTCCTAATGGAACAATGTTGTATGACTCTGGTGTGGATGTCTGTGTGAACACCTGTGGTGAGTTTTACTGCTTCACTTGCATGCATGTTTGTTTCCTCTTTGTTGTTTCCTTCTCATGCATGCAACATAGATCTCACTGCATGCTGTACTTGTACAACATATAGTAGAGATGTCTACTGTCATATGAGTGGTAATGGAGATTTATTTTGATATTTTCACAGGCTGTGTTGGAGTGGATAAGATACCAAGAGAGGTATGCTGCCATATGCTCTTGTATTTCAAGTAGAGGCTACAGGTGGGGAGAGGAGAGTGGTCTCCACTGGTGCAGTCTTCTTTTGTAGTCTCCCAACTTTTCATTCCTGTTTTAACTTCCAATCTTTTTAATTGGTAACCATGCAATCACTCACTTTATTTTCTTTAATGGCAGTTTGGGGAGAAGTTTACAGTAGACTGTCAGGACTGTATTTGCCTGGAAGGTGGAAATGGCATTGTATGTGAGCCTCATGAATGTGCCGAACAAAACAAGGCCAGTTGCAGTGGAGAAGGCTTCTATGAGGTCAATGAAGTCAATTCTGAAGACTCCTGCTGTCCCCTTGTTACCTGCAGTGAGTTTATGCTTTTGTTTCTAATCTTTCTCTACCTTTTAAGAATAGAAAGGAAAAGACAGCTGAACTAGTTTAGCACCAGAGACCTGCAGCACGGAGTCACAAAATAGTATCTTTCCTCAGGCTTTTTAAAACTAGCTTGCCCGGTGTTAGGGAAAATACGTTTATTATTACATGTTTGCAATGACTCAGCATAACTTAATTTACAGTTATGGGGCTCAGCATAACTGAATCTATAGTTCTTGAGTCCAGGATCACATTTTATTCAAGTAAAATGCAGATAGATGATGGAATTCAATGTGGGTTTTCATTTTGTGGCAGTTGCCTACAACCTTGGAGAGAATAGCAGTTGTCCACTACTTCTCTGCAAAGAATTGTTATACTTTTTTAACACTTGTTAATTACATAGTAGAAAAAGTTTCATAAACTAGTGCAGTCCCCCAGTCCAGTGCTTGGATTCACTATGAAAAATGTGTTCTCTTTCTCCAATGTGTTTCTTTGGAGAGGATCTGAACTGTTTCCTAGCAATGAAAAGTCTATCCTAAATGCTTTGATAGATGCCTATTTCTAGTAGCTGTGATTTAGTGTACTTTCTGGCTTATTCCTTTTTTTTCAGAATGCAATACAAGCTTGTGCACATCTAAAGCCCCCAAGTGTACACTGGGATTTGAAGTTCATTCTCATATTCCCAGTGGTCAGTGCTGTCCTGTGTACCAGTGTGGTAAGTCCCTTGGAAATATATTACAATGATTAGCATTATATATTACATAATTTAGCGTCATACTTAGTAAGACTGTATGCAGTAGCCTATTAAAAGAGGTAATAAACACTGTCAGATTTTACAAATTGTTTACTATTAACAGTGGTTACTACTGCTATGGCTATGACAAAAAACTACAAAATCAGATGTAGATCAGGTGGCTCAAATTCAGTTTTCCTTGTTGTAAGTACATGTAAGAACAGCTACAGAATTAACTGGCACTGTGGTCTCAGCTTAATCTAGCAAAATGTCCCTGTAAGCATTCCCAACAGAAGATATCTTTCCAAAGTCTGCTTTGTTCTCGGTAATTGAAACAAGGAACTATTTGTACCTGTTAAGTGGACATTCTTGGCTATGAACTGGACCGCATATATTGGGCTGAATCCTCCTTCTGTTTTGCACATGCTGTGTTTGTTTTTGTACTTTATATATGTCATATCTGCTACCAGAAATGGGGAATAGCCAATTGTGGAAGAAATGAGTTTGACTAGAGTGGTAGAGTGGGGTGAAGACTTTTTCCCCCCCCCTCCCCCTATGTAACCACCTAACTCCTTGTTTGTTAACAGTTCCCAAGAGGGTTTGTGTACATGAGAATGCTGAGTTCTTGGTAAGTTCCTATTTCAACAGTCTTCTGAAAGAGCTTAAAAGACCATTTAGTATAGTTTATCAGAAGTGTTATGAGGTGGTTTATCTAGTACAATCAATATTTTAGAAATTTTCAAATTCCTGTCAGAAGTTCATTAATTTCACAAACCCTAATTTTTTTCTGAAAAGCTTGCTGTGTATGAAAAAGACTGAAGAGTTGTCTGTATGTCAGTATCAGAGAGAGGTTTGGGGTTAGAGTTAAGTGTGCATGCATTTTAAAAAGTCAGTCCACATTTACTGTCAGCACATTATTGCAGTTTTAAGACTGCTTTCAAAAATGAAAAGATGTGTAAATAAATATTATTCTAAACAGACTTAGATTCCTAATAAATTCTGCTTAGTCTAGTGATTGTTTTATTGCAGATATTTGTATGACACCTGTACTTTTAATATCTGAGTTTATTGTTGCTACATAGGACTTCAATAGACACATGTTAAATTCGGTATTTAAAATGTTGTCTTCATAAATGGCTAGCCAAATAGCTGACCAATAGTGTTTATGATTGTTTCCTTTTCCATTGTTTGGTTTACAGAGTTTTTGGAAATTAAGAAATTTGTCACGCATGTCATATCTCATTAATATATGAACTTTTTTGTCTTAAAATTTATAGCCTAATTCCTCAGTCTTTGTTGATAAGTGTCAGAATTGTTTCTGCACTAATGAAGTTAATGTCAGCACTCAACTGAATATCATCTCATGTGAACATATTCCATGCAACACGTACTGTGAACCGGTAAGTGACAAAATTAACACAAATGAAACCCCGCCCCATAATACCCATGTACATGAAAAGCAGTTTGATCAATGAGTGATATAAGCAAAGGACAGGGAGCAGAAATCCAGAGTCCAACTCCACCATGGATACCAACTGTCCTTGAGCAATCTGTTGCGTGAAGCTTGACTATGTAACTTACAGTGTTTGGTTCACACTGAGAAGATTGGCTGGGAAATTTCTGTAGAGCGCTTAATGGAGTGATATTTAATTATTAAGCATATTTATTAGAGTGATTAAATTCATTCCATCTGCTTTTATTACTTGTCTTCTGTTGGGTTGGAACACAGAAAGGCACAAATCTAGAGTGCACTTCAGAGCATAATCAATTAATGTGTTAGTATGTTTTCATTTATTTCTCAAAAACACGTCTACCACAGTGCTTTCATTTTTAATTAATTTTAATATGTAGGGATATGAACGTCAACCAGTGAAAGGTGAATGTTGTGGAAGATGTGTGCAGACTAAGTGTGTTATACGTACAGGAAACAATTCTAACCTCATCTTGAGTGTAAGTATGCTCTATGTCTTATGTTGCTACCAAATTTGTAAAGTTGCCCCTTTCAGAGAGGGAACATGTCCTTCTCAGAGGATAAGGCTTAGTGTAAGTTTGCACCTGCAAGGTCAGAGGCTCACCTAAAACAAAACCTATTTACAATTTTTTGGCCTGATAGGAAGGACTCATGAAATCAGATTTTCTGGAAGGCTCTTCCTGGTATGACAAATCCAATATCCAAATCAAAATCCTCTCCAAATCCATTGGCAGGGTTTTTCTTGTGATATCTGGAAGCTTGGGCTTTTCTATATTATTTGTTTTCTGTATACTTAAAAACACTAGTTAAACCTGCTTATGAAACAATTTTATTGCCCTTGTACAGTGAAAGTTTAGGGTTGTTCTTAATTACCAGATAACAGTTTAGCTTTCCCTTGGCAAAATCCATTGGCAGGGATGATTTTGTTAATAACTCTAATGCACTGTACATACTTTAAGGGACTTTTATTTTCCAAGGAGAACCTACGTGAAACTGAAGATTCTTGCCACATATGGCATACTGCAATACATGTAATAATCTGTACCCGAAACAGCTGTTAACCTACAAATAATTGACTGGGAAACAAGGGGAAAGTCATTGTCAGAGGACAGGAAAATTCCTGTGTGAACTCCCTTCAGCTTTTCTTACTACATTTTGTATTTCGCTTGCAGCCTGGAGAGTTTAAGAATGATCTTTACAACAACTGCACCATTTATAGCTGTGTAGATGTCCACAACCAGCTTATCTCTTCCACATCTGAGATTACCTGCCCAGCATTCAATGAGGAAAGCTGCAAACCTGTAAGTAAATGTGGACAACTTATCCTCTACTTCAGTTTAGTTCAGCCACCTAACTAGCAACAAAAGACAAATTAAGCTCTGATGACATTTCACCGAAGTTTTTCAGTCCCAAGGGGAAAAGTTTCTGCTGCCTCCGTGCACACTATAGAGTGTATAAAATAAGATATCTGGGTGAGAGTTCAAGGCTTATAACTGGCAGCTGTCTCTCAGTAGTCAAAACACTGGTCAGCACTGAAATACAAACTCCTCGCTGGCTGCTTTGTGCGGGTCCTGACGGAACAAGAACCATGTTTTCTTGAATGTTACAGAAATACTAGCTGTTCAGTCAGTAGGCTGCCAGTAACACCATGCATACTCTCTTCAAATATAGAAGTCTCTGAGAAGACATTTTTTGGAATTGTTTCTGAGGAAAAATTGTGTGACTGTAGCCTCCCTTCAAAGCATTCTCTTTATTTCTACAATTGATGGATTTCAGGTCTGGAAGAGACCATTATCTTTGTTTATTCAGAACAATGCTACAGTTTTCTCTGATTATTTCCAGCCACTGAAGAATTGCTCTCCTCAGCTATTGGCCTAAAAGCCTCTTTTAATACTGGGAAAGAAAATAATATTTTTCCTGTTTCTTTGTTCTTCTAGGGCACTATTGCATTCTTACCTAATGGTTGTTGCAAAACCTGTAAGTATGCCAGTGTACCTGAATCAGCAATACAGAGAATGAATTTTCTTCTTAAATTAACCCATTTTTCCAGCCATAGAGGCTGATATGTTTGTATTTAAATAGATACTTTTATATTTATATTTGTTATTCCAACCATTCACTGTCTGATCTCTCTGGGAAGGTTTAAACTGAAGCAGAAAGACCATTTAAGACAATTCTTTGAGTGTGCAAGTGAAGCCCAGAGAGTGCTGAAGTGCAATGAACTTCTGGAGCTAATTCACTGAAAATATTTTCTGATCTTTCCCT